GGGCCGGGGCCGGGGCCGGGCGGGCGCGGCGCCTCTCCTGACGGCGGCCTGTGTCCGCAGGAGATCCGGAAGGAGGTGCAGGCGCTGGAGCAGACGGCCCGGGAGATCCTCACGCTGCTGCAGGGCGTGCACCAGGGAGCCGGCTTCCAGCACAGTGAGTCCCGCACGGCCGCCCTCAGGTCTAACAGGACCTGTGGGGCCGTTGTGTCTGTATCTCCTTCCTCACCTCTTCACCCCACCCCCCAAAAAGCTGTGATGCTCTGGGGAGTGTTCAGGGTGTTGCGGGAGATGGGGACTGGTTTGTATGAGACTGACTCTCTGTGTGTGTGTGTGTGTATAAAGTCTGCTTAATGTTCCAAAATATACAGGGAATTTTCAAAGACTGATAGAGCAGGAGCTGTCCCTGATGTACGTTTGAGTGAAAACTGGAATTGTTCTCCTATTTTTGAGGTTGTAGCTAGCCTGGTTCCTTGCTTTCAATTAAAAGCTACTTTTTCAAGTCAATTAATATCTCCTGAGAAGCAGCAGCCCTTCTGACTTTCCTGGAAACTTTTAAGAGAATTTGGGAAGGGGAGGAATCTGGCAGGCCACCCTCTGAAGGTAAATAGAAGCATTAGCTCACGGGCTGCTGTTTTGTTCACGTGCAGAGCTGGCGGGTTGTTACGAGCCCGATGACGTTCACCAGCACGCTCCTGCTGGAGCTGGAGGCTTGGGATTTCTCTGGTCTCCGAGAGGGTACGTGTTTAGCAACGTGCGACACCTGAGGTTTGACCTCTGCTGGCAAGTGCAACTCCCACCTACTTAGGAAATCTGGCAGTGCTAAAAATTAGTGCTAATTGGCTAATTTATGAAGCATATACTCATTTTTCTAAGCTGAGTAAACCCGTGGATATTGTGATGGTTGTTTTGCGTGGGTATCAACTTCAGGGGTTGCTTTCCAGCATTTATTAGTAGAGAGCTGTGTGTGGCTCAGTGTATTTTCACTTGACTTTTAATTCCAGGAGAGAGCTGGTTCTGGCACTTGCAGAGTTTGAGAAGAGATTTGGAATAGTTAAAGTAAAAAAAAAAAAAAAAAAACCAAAACCAACAACAAAAAAAACCCACCCAAAACCCTCAGCTTATAATTCTTGTAATATCAAAGATAGTGAATGCATGCTTAATAGGTTAGGATTTAACTCATGATAATAGACCTGTCAGTTTATCATCAGTTACGAGCATAATAAAGTCAATAAACATTTAGATTAATAAAGGTTTACAGCAGAATAATATAATGCCAGTTAACAGAAGGATTGTTGAGGGGATAAATAGCACTTGTCAGATGTCCCATATTTAGACTACAGTTTCATTGGATAATGGTTGTAGTTCTGCAGTGTAGTGCGCTTAAATGGCTGTTGGCTTATTACAGCATCTTGTTGGTTGAGTCAGTACCACGTTTTTACTAAGAAACTAGAGTGATTCTTCCTGAGTAGATTAAAAAGGGTTAAATGATGATTCTTGTAACTATGAAAGAGAGGATTGTCCATTGCAACAGAGTTCTGGCTAGACTTCATACCATCAAGATTTTTTAGCTTTATATTTATTTATTTATTCCAAGCTGTAAGAAAAACTATTAATAAACTATATTGAACTATAAAAATATTAAATGATAAACTAGATAAACTAATAACGAATTAATAAAAAAGCAAAAATACTATTAATTACTACAAGTTCACAGGTGAAGGAGTTACTAATGATGCTTGGTGACTGCAGCTGTATTGCTGTGGGTGGTTTAAGCTGGTGCTGCTGCCAACAGAAGCTGTGTTGCTTATTGTGCCTCCTCCCTTGTGCCAGCCTAAGTGGGAGACAACTGTCTCCCGCAGCCTGCTGGTTGATCCTTCGTAATTATTCTTGCATCAGCAATTGAGGTAGAGTGATGAAAACTCAAGGAGACAACAGAGAGCCAGTAAAAACAGGGAAAGGATTTGCACCAGGCTGAGGAATCCATCCTGCCAAAGAGAAGGGTAAGGGGTAGCGTGAGCTCTGTTAATCGAACTTCGGGATAGTTGGAAGTTTCCTGTACCAGTCAGTGGTATTTAAAATGTTATCTTGCACAATGCCTTTCGTCTGTTCTCCGGGGACTTAAAATACCTCTTGGCTAAACCTGTTTTCATTGAGTTTTTCATCTGACCTCTTTTACTGTGGGGCAGCCACCTACTCACAGACAGCAGCCGTTTCACAGTGCCGGCTTCTCTGTGGTCTCTCTCTGCACCGAGCACGAGGCTGTGTTTAGCTGTGGGGTAAGCACTTTCAGTCATAGCCTTTGTTCAGCTGTGGGGAAGGGAAGGAAAACCAGCAGAGCCTCAGGCCGTCAGCCTCCAGAACAGGGCTAGAGGATCTCTCTCTCAGCTTCCTCTGCTCCCTGTCCAAAATGGAGTTTGAGAACTACTCAGAAAGCTGTTCAGGGCAGCGTGCGCTGCAGCCTGCTGTTAGCTGACATGAGTCTGAGTGACAGGCAGGGTCTTCAGAGGCTGAAAGTCAACTTAGTGTGTCTTTGCCCTTGAAGCACGTCGTGTTAAGTTTAGCAAAACATCAGTGGTGACATCCAAGGATGCACGAGGATAGTTTGAAGTTGGGAGGTTATGCGTGTATCATTGGGCACTGAAACTTTACAGTAAAGATGGTTTATTTTTGTCACAGGTTCCTCTGGCAGAAGCCAAAATGCAAATTTATTCCTTACTCTGTCCCCAACTGCCACATGATGGCTTACACGACCAAGGCGGACACCATAGTTTGAGGGTGGTGTTCAAAGGGCAGCTGTCAGTGAGCTTCACATGTTTCCTTCATTCTGGCTGCCACACGGAGCACCTTCACCTTCTGCTTCCTGAAGCTTTTATTTTTAAGTGCTCTTTTGGTTTTTTACATGGAATTGATGTTTTAATAATTGAAAAAAGTTTTTAAACACATTGAGTGACTCCTAGTAGGGCTTGTTTGATAAAAATCATTCATCACAGCTTTCAGATTTGGCTTCTATGGATCTTGTTTAAATATTGTTAGCTTCTACACATCAAGATGCAGGAGAGCCTGTCAGGTTGATCTTCTGCCTGCCTTGGGTCGTGGCCGGGATTTCTGAGAAGGCTGCAGTTAAGAAGTACTGGTTTCATTAGTTCTGTCGGGCCGTGGTACTGCGGGTGCAGTGTGGCTGTAACTCGTATCAATAAATGGGAGGTGGCAGCGGGTGGTGCGTAAACAGGAGACCATTTCTCTGCAGAGGTGTAACATACATTAGACAGGCTGAAACCCAGTTTCTTCAAATACATCACTTGAAAGCAGGAAATGCAGTTTCCTGAAGGGATGTTGCACTTCATCTAACTTAACTCTGATTGATAAGAAAAAAAATTGTAAGATTTTAAAATGGAGAAAGAAAAGTTGCCTTTCCTTTGATTGTACGAGTCGTTTGGTGGCACTGCTTGGTGTGTGTGCTTTCTTTGGGGCCAGCTGCTGTGTGCAGTGCTGTTCTGTTGCTTGTGATCTGGTTGTTGCTTTTTCTTCTAAACAAGTGCATTAGGGCACTCTCCAGAACATCTTGTTTCTCTCTATAACACCTGTGCAGCCCAACCGGCCGCCCCTTTCTCTTGCTCCATCCACACAGCTAAAACTAAAAATGTCCCGTTACCGGCTCATGCCTGATCTCTGGTGCGTCCTTCCTCCTGCAGTGCCACCCGTAGCCCTGCCACTCCGGAGTGCTGCTGCGTGGGTGGGCTTGTAGCATGGGGCTTTAACCGTGTCACTGCTCTTGCTGACTTCCTCCCTTGCCCCCCATATCAGATGCCATAGTCTCAGCTTTTCTACATTTACAGTCCCTTGAAGGAAATTGTCCCTCTACTACCTCAGATGAGGTCTGTTCGCCCTTTTTCAGCCTTCCTCCATCTCTACTTGTCGTCTCTCCTTCAGCATTGCTTTGGCACCCTGCTCAGCATGTCACCAGGCTCCGTTGCTTGTAGGTTTGTTCCATAGACAAGAGTCAATGTGGTGTTTATGTTCCTCCGTTCCTGCCTCCGTCCGTTTGTATCCCCTGTAGCCTCTTGGTCTGTAGGCTGTGTGACCTTTCCAGTGTTTTCTTCTGTCAGTGCTCATTACAGAATGGGTTCTTCATCCATGACATAAGTTTTATAGCAACAGTAATTAGTCATGATTAGCAGTGATTCTTAAATAACATTGGGGCATCTTGGCTCAAGTTCAAAACTAAGGAAGGACTAGAGCAGATTAGACAGCCCAGAGCTCAGGAGTATTTCTCCTCTACCTGTGTGACTCATGGTGCGACAATGAGTATTTCTTAGATTGATTCTGAATGTCAGTAGACTCTTGGTCAACAAAGGAGCATAAATAGCGCTGTCTAGACTAGAAAACTCTCTGTTTACAAAACCCTGTTCTCTGTCAAGTACTGAATGTTGCGCTGTTTCTTTTTCAGTACCAAAGAAATGTCAGAAGGCTCGTGAGCACTTTGGTACAGTGAGAACACAGCTGGAATCCCTGAAGACCAAGTTTCCCGCTGATCAGTATTACAGGTGTGCAGGATCACACGCAGCCAGACATGGATATGGAAATTCCCTGGGCGTGTTTGGCATCATTACTTTGGAAGAATGATTTAAAGGTTTATGGGCCCAATGCTTCTTTCTGTTTGAAAAGTAGATTATGGTAGAGAACTGTCAGGGTTTTATCAGCATAGATAAAAAATGCTTTTGCTCAAACACTCTATTTATAACTTTTCACTAAAAAATATCCAGTATTTAATTCTTTTTCTAGAAGCTTTTTTAAAAAAGAAAAAGGAAAGTGTAAGAAATTGATGTTCTATTGGAGCTACCCTGGTTTCTGGGAGCAGAGCGTTTGCTGCTCCATTAATTTCAGTTAAGTTAGGTTTGGGGCATTTCTGAAAACAGAGCCCTAAATCTGTCATGAAATGGCTGTTTGATACTGCAGGTACCAAATGAAGTTGTCACCTTTGTGTTTTGTTGCTGCCAGAAGGGGACAGTGTCTAGCAAGAACATTTCAAAGAACAAGAATCTTGTCAGCTCAAATCTTGTCATCTGAGGGAAGATGGGAGGGAAAGCCCTGGTTGTCTTGTGGGCACGACAACCTGAAAAACTCCGTGAACAGAGTAGGTGTGTGAGAGGTGTGAGCAAATGCTAGCGTCCGGCGTAGTGTCCTGGGGGTGAAGTTCTGGAGTGCCAAGGAGATGTCTTGAAGCTGGTGTCGTTTTGATAAGCCAAAAATATTGCAAAGTGCTATGTGTAAAGGTGGAAAACATAATGTATACATAACATAAGCTTGTTGCCTAACTCTCCAGTAATAGATGTTATTTTTTTATACCTTGACTTTGTGTTTTCTTCAACAGATTTCATGAGCACTGGAGGTTTGTGCTTCAGCGGTTGGTGTTTCTGGCAGCATTTGTAGTCTACTTGGAGTCAGAAATGTTAGTGACCCGAGAAGCTGTTGCAGAAATACTTGGGAGTAAGTTAATGTTGTAACTGAAGAGAAAAAGCTTGTGATGTTTTCAGACGTTGTAGCTTTCAGAGGTACAGGGAAACAGCAGAACTTCATTTCTTCCCAAGAAAGAGGTTCCAAAATTTATCTGGTATTTGATTTCATTATATAAACAACAAATTCTTTTAGAAGGTGGAAATCAGCAAACCTAATGTGAACAAAAGTATTTATTCATTAATAAGTTCTTCATCAATGCAGATAATTCATTCAAATTTCATAAATCTACTAAAAGAATAATACAAAGATGCGAGCTTATTTTTCCTCACTTTTTGCTTGTGGTGTTTAAAAGTGTGGAAAACAGATTAAATTCTTATGCTGTAAGAGAATTGTGTCCTCCCAGAGCAAAGGATTCAAAAAAAAAAATCAGGGAAATATTTTTCTAAAAAACGACTACAGATCCCTCTCCTGTATATGGATGTAAATTCAGTTATTCTGTTGGATCAATTATAACCTGTCCAGTTATAATAATAATAACCCAAGTATTGCACTCCAGTTGAGGATGTACGAGATGCTAAATCAAAACACTGAGAAGAGGCAGTAATTACATCATATACAGGAAAAGACTGGCGTTTATTTTTTAATAATATTTCATAAATTTGATATTTCAAATTAGCTCCAGTAAACAAATGCAATTTCAACTCGCAGGTTTTGCTCATGTTCAGTACCACCTGATTACCACTCTGTTTTTCATCTTAGTTGAAGCTGATCGAGAGCGGGGCTTTCACCTGGACATTGAAGACTATCTTTCTGGTGTATTAACTCTCGCCAGTGAGCTGGTAAGGAAGATATTCATGCATATATTTGGATTGAAACTGACCTAAAAAGAAAAAAAAAAGGAAAGTAATGTGTTTTCTAACTTTCCCAAGTTGTTCCTGGAAGTTATGATATACACAACACCTTGATCTGAACTTGTAGTAAGCTGCCTCTCTGTATGCCAGAGTTGTTCCTCACTGATATTTTAAGATTTAAACTAGTTGCTTGATTGAAAATCCAGGATTACGGTCAACAAGAAGGTAGATCTAAGTATAAATAATCTGACTGCCTGGGCCAAAACTGCTTCACGTGGTAAAGTAACTGATGGGAATAGTGACGTGATTTGGGTGGGTTCCTCTGCTGGTGTTCTCCTGTGTGTCTTCCCCTCATAGGCCAGACTGGCAGTGAACAGCGTCACGGCTGGTGACTATTCTCGCCCTCTCCGCATCTCAACTTTTATCAACGAGCTGGATTCCGGCTTCCGTCTCCTCAACCTGAAGAATGACTCCCTGAGGAAACGTTATGATGGCCTGAAATACGATGTCAAGAAAATTGAGGAAGTGGTTTACGACTTGTCGATCAGAGGACTCAATAAGGAGGCAACAGTTGGTGCGGGTGGAGAGAAATGAAGGATGCTCATTTTAACAGCATCATTGATTACCTCAGATGGTTGCCAATTTAGGAAGCATGCTAGCGAAGCCTTCCTACAGTAGTTTAGAAGAACTGCAGCTGAAAGCTGCTCTCTATTTTCTTACAAAAGGTGTAGTACGGGTGTTAGATCTTGAAATGTTTTGTAAAATCATGTCTAGATTAGGGCAGGAGGCTCTCTGTTTCCAGTGGAATTCCTCTGTCAAAACACACGGTGCCGTTCTGTGCACAGCAGCAATAGTAGTCAGTAACTCCCATGAGCCGAAGTCCTCATTAGTTCTGTGGTGTTGCTTCACTGCTCTGGCAGCGATGTGCTTCAGCTGTCTCTGCTCACACGCCTTTAAAGACGTGTGCGCAGCACGCAGCTCAGCACAAATACGTGTGATGTTTTAAAAAACACAGTGTGTAAATATCTATACTTTCTTTTTAAGACACTGATTTTTTTTTTTTTTGCCTTTTTGTTTGTTAAATTTTCACCTATGTCAGTAAGTTGAACAGATTTGCAAAACTGTTTATTAACCAGATCCTTTTAAATGGCTTTAGTTAATGTGTCCCCCTTAGTTGAGAAATTAGTGAAAATATTCCTGAGAACTTCTCCATTGGAACTGGCGTATTGCACCCGGCCACATATCTTTACCTCTCTCTCTTCTCGTTTCTTCCTTTCCTCCAAGATTTCTATTACCAGGGAGAGTGAGGTTTTCTCAAACATCTGCTTTCATGGGCTGGTATTTGTTTTACTCACATGAGTAAATGTTGAGTTTTAATATGATCATTTGCCTTGAAAACTCAGTGTAACTTTTTTTTTTTTAAACTACCAAGGTTTCTGAATAGAGAAGTGTTAACTGATAAACTGCAGGTAGCGTCTGAGTTTTAACAACCTGTATAGGCCACAACTGTACCTGTGTCCTGGGATTAAAAAAAAAACCAAAAAACCGAAACTATAGTTCATGTAGTAAAATGTTTGTATCTTCAGAAAAGGGGAAATTACTAGTTTCAGATACTTTGCATGTAAGATGTTTGCAAATACCAACAGCCTTTTTCATTTGTGTAGATGGACAGACTCACACCTCCGAGGGTGTTTGTTCTCTTGTCCTAAATGACTTCGAGTTTTGCCGTTTTTCACCTACTTCTGGCAGTGCAGTAGGGTTAAGGAGAAAAACAAACTTACTTAGGAGGAAGAATATTTCCAGAGGATCAACATGAACAGTCAAGTTTATGTGGGGTTTGTTAGTGTTTCATTTTGTTAGCAGAGATTTCCCACTGTTTCAGTTAAGTTTTTGTTTTATTGGAAGAAAATGGTTTCTTGGTTATTTTGGCCAATAAAAGCTGTTCTTTGATTTTGGCCATTTGGTAACTCTGCCTGTTGTCTGATTATCTGTTGTTATTTGCTTCCCTTCCTAGGAGCCTACTCTGAAATATCATAATTTAAGTTCAGCCTTCAGCTATACTTGCACAATAACAGAATTCCTCACTTTGGCCGTACGCTGTTCAATGGCGCGCTCTTACGTGCTGGCGAGTGGAGCCTAAGTCAAGCTGCAAACAGATTTCATAGGCTTTTTTTCTTTACTCTTAATTTTGACCTATTTCACCAAGTAAAACAGGAGAGGTATGGAGGAGTTTCTCATTACCAAATCCAAGATGTGGCAAGGTTCATCTTCAGAGCATCTCATAATCTTTAATGTCTGTCCTCATCCTTTGTATCTTATGTCAAACGTATGGAGATGCTAATACCCCTCCTTCACAGCTGAAGAAAATGAGAGTGTAACTTCCTGAGCCCCACGGCAATGCGACCAGCTTTCAAGTTAGTTCTTTGTTCTTGCCCTATGCCACTGTGTGCTGCTTTCTCGCTTTAACCCTGTGGAGGTGGGAGGAAGGAAGAAGCTTAAGCCAGTTCTACTGCCAAAACCAGAGACTTGTCAAACAACACCCTAAGGCTCCGAGACACAGCCGTGCAGACCAAGGTCACACAGGAAACGCGTGGGAGCAGGGGAATTAAAGAAGGGTTTCCTGAGTGTCAGTCTGATGTCTCTCGGGTTGGAGGACTTCGGCATGCAGGACAGGGACATGAGGCCACATGTCGGAGCAGGTTTCTGGTTTGTTAAGGCTTTGTGCTGGCTTGTGTCCCAGGTGCTCCGGTTGCAAAAGTTCTGCTTCCTGACATGGGATCCCATGTGCCTAACGCGGCTTTTCAGTAGAGCCTAGATCTGCCAGCTCTCACATCTTATGTGGTTTCCGAGAGCTGGTGGAGATACAACAGCGCTACGCCACAGGTGCAGAGGTGCAGATACGGTGGGAGGGACAACTGGAAGAGCAAGTCTTTTACGTAGGACTTACAAAGTCTGCAAGGTGTGGGATCCTTCTGTCTAAGGCTCTGTGAAGAGCAAGTGCCTGAGAAAGAGACACTCCAGTGTTGTGTTCCTGGACACAGGCGTTTAGCAAACACCTTGTTCTTTCCCATTGCTAGGTTTTGGGAGAGCCTAGCATCTTCCTCTGGAAAAGCATCATTTGCAAGAGCCAGGCTGCATAGCGCATTCCCAAGCCAGGTCTGGGGAAGGGAAAAGAAAACCGCAAACTCTCTCCCTAGGCTGCAGCAGGGAAAGCCGGGGATGTGCTTTTTGTGGCTTCCTCTGTGCAGAGTTAGCTTGTAGGACTTTGCAGCCTTGGTTGTGAATCTGCACATTAGTCTGGTCCTAAATGATAAGTTGTGTTTCTATCCCAGAGCTGGGAGCAGAGGGAAGAAGGGAAGACCCAGAAGGACTTGAGTGGGGGGGGGTCTCTCTTCTCTGACCCTTCCCTTTCCCAAGGGTAACAGGAGCAGGTTAGCCAGTGGGGAATGGCAGTGAGAGACGGAGCTCTGAGGACTGCAGAAGCTTGATGGCTCATGATGAATCAGATGCACTTGAACCCTGAACAAATAACTCCTGTTGGTACTGAATGGACTGCACAGCGTGTGCTGGCAGCTGGGAGGGGAGTGAGTCAGCGCAGGAGCACTGGAGGGTCTGACTCAACAGCCAGCACAGCCGTTCTCTGAGCCACTTCAGCCTGAAGTGTGTTCCAGGGAGCACTCTCTTGGATCATCTTTGTATTCACTCACTAGTTTGGGTTTTTTTTCCTCATCTTGACGTCATTTCTGTGGGTTTTCTTTATTTCAGTAAAAAGGGCACTTAAATAGTTGATTAACTGCTCTTTATTTATAGCACTGCCTGTTCAACCTCTGCAGATCAATGAAAGTGCTGACCTGAAACCGTTCGGGAAATAGGGGTGGACAGAGCTCCGTGGCACAGGACGCAGAGTAGACCTTGGGGCTGGCTGTTGAACTGAGCTCTGTCTGCTGGAATTGATTAACTGCAGCCCGAGACCAGCAACCTCTTTAAACTGGCACTTCTTAAAGGACATGTTATCACCTCCAGACTGCCCTTTTCTAGTGCAAGCACACGTCTTTGTGCAGTGAACTGGATCAAGGAATTGATCTAGCTGAACAATCTTTATTTTTCAGCAGTGTTTGCTCCCAGTCCAGTTCACTGCACAGTCCTGCACACGCTGTGCCAGTGTGGGGAGGGAAGCTTCTTCCTCCGCTGTGGTGCCACCTTTAAGTGTTCACTGAGCTCTAACACTACATGGTAAATTGTCTGATTTTTTTGTAGTAATTTAACTGCATTCAGTTCCGTTAGGATTGCCAAGGATTTTCTCTTTGGGTAAATAATTTGCCTTCATTTTACTGCAAAGTGATGACTTTTGTGCTATAGAGCCTTACTTGCATTTTTCAGCCGATAAGGTCATTACACACCAAGGCAATTAACGAGAGCATAAAGTGAACATGGATGGGTCCTGGGGTCTGTACGTGGATATTGACCCGTTACTCATCAGCAGTCCATCTTCCCTCTTTAAAGTACTGTCTGTTGCTGGATACTGTGGTGCAACTGTTCTAAAATGTGTGTAGGGGCTGTTCAGAGTGCCTCCTGCCTGCTGAATTTGCGGAGTGTCATTAAGCAAGTGTTCGATTTTGAAAGGAATAGTCCTTTACCGTATGTATCTCCTGTATGCAGGTTGTGCGTCAGGCATGAGTTACTTGAAGATGGGTGTCTCCTTGCAGGTTTCTCTGCCTGTTTGTTGTCACTTCAAACTGTGGCACTTCTGGCTTGCCCTGGTTAGCCATCACTGGAGGATTGCCCAGCCCAAGGGGGGAAAATGGCTGTCCTAAAACGAGTCCTTTCTTGAAAGAAGGGGGAATACACTCCTTGTCTGAATGCTTATTCATCTGCACGTTCACACTATGGGTGTACAAACATCTAACCTGCTTCTCTTGGGGAAAGTGTAAGAGCCTGAGCCCTGCAAGGGTGCTGCCTGCTCCCCAGGAAGCCTGCTGGCTCCCATCCCGGTAGGGAGAGCTGACTGCCTCTGGGTCTGCACTGGGGCCCTGCGCAGCTCTCACAGGCTCCTGTGAAGTCTGATGACCACCTCAGCCTGTTGGAGACTTCAACAGGGACTGCTAAAAGCCTAAAGGGAAGAAAAAGCCTGAGATTTCAGCCCCTGTTAAATAGTCCAGGGCTGTAAACGCCTTATGCTCTTTGCATGTTTTGGTTCCCCCAGGCATCAGTCATGGGATCTGCTTTGTGACTTTCTTGTGACCTCCAGGCTTCACACTCTCATCTGCCAGCCCTCCCCACAGCACCCAGAGAGACATTTGATGCGGGTCCTCCCAAGGATGTGGCTATGGCACTGCAAGGGAGGTTCCTGCACTAGGAGGGCAGGGTTCAAAACCACCTGGGGCTCCACTGCCGCTAAAACAAAGGGTTCCTTTGCCTGTTCCTACACAGGGCACCTTCCTGGGAGGGCTGTTTGCAGTCTGGGTCTTCTCAGCTGCAGCTGAGATCATTTCTCAGGGATGCAAAAGCCTGCGCTGGTAGAGATCACACTGGGGCAGAATTTGAGCTGGAGAGTTGCAAATTATCATTACATTCATCCCTGATAATGGATCCAGAGCCCGATGCCAGCTTTTCAACTTCTTCCGGCTGTGTAACTGCTCCCAGTCAAGCCTGAGCAGAGACCAGTGCTGGAGGATGCTCTGCCTGTGTTCCGATTCCTCGCTAGGGTTCTTCACTCTGTGTTGAAGAGGACCTTCTATGTTCCTATCGCTCAACTTTTCCATCCATGTTGTAGAAAGGTTTCCCTTAAGGGGCCACCTTCAGCTTCCTGAGGGAGATGTCTTTTTTTCTAATGAATGCCCTTGGGGCTTGCCTGGAGTCTTTGGACTATTCAGTGTTATTGTTAAAACTTTGATTTTTTTTTTCTTTTTTTTAAATTGCTTTTACCTGTCTCTAGTCATATTGATACTCTGCAGCAGCCTCTGTGAGAAAGGCAGTTCCTTTGTATGTCTGATTGGTAAGACTTTTTGCTCTGTCATATTCCACTGCAGTGACAGAAGGTCATTCAACAGTGACACTGAGATCTTTGAACATTTATCTGATCTCCATCAGGAGGACAGTTTCCTCCATTGCTTTTGGTTCCAGGTTTTTCCAATTTCAAGTCAAAGAATGTCCAGCTTAATCTCACCTGGTTCCCCAGCATACATTTAAGAGGAGACCTGGCTGATGTAATGAAAAGAGAATTACTACAGCAGCCTTTTCCATAGCCCTGAAGGGATATCTTTGACGTGATGCTAGAAGATTTGAATTATCTTCCCTTTGAGGATGTCAGGGACAAGGAAGAGAGTGCTGCTGGAGATCTGCCTTCCTGAGACTTTAGCTGCATAATAGATTCACGTGCATTGAATGATTGAAGTTCCCCTAGGCAGGAAATCTGAGATTATCTCGGAGCTTTTTTTCAGGATTTGGGATGTGCTGTGGTCAATCTCTCAGTCTCCAATGACAGCTACAACAGCTTCTTGCTGCTACACCAAAGCTGATGCTCCCTTTCAGATGTGTTCTTTATCACATAGTGGAGACCCACACTGAACACCCCTTCCCCATCCTCACTTCTGTTAAGGACAACCAGGAAAGTACAAGAACACCATAAAAGAGAAGATCTCTGTTCGCTAAAGCAGACGTCTCCGCCCTCTGAAATATTTGCTTTTCATCTCCCAATGCTTTTTTCAGGCTTTCCCATCCAAGCTACTGACTCTTAAAGTAGCTATTCATTCTTTACTTGGGACCTGATCTCACAGGGGGCTCTTAATCCAGTGTTGTGTGTTCTTGTGCGTCTGCCTTGAGCTCAAAACTACATGGACTCTATGATGAAGACTGACTGTTGTTGTTTTCCTGGTAAATGACCAGCAAGACTCATTCTAAATTCTTGTTAAAGGTAATTTATGAGTTCTGATAAATCAAGGGACTAATCTGACTTTTTATTTTTTCCCCCTAACATGGTACTTCCTGAGAGGCCTGCTTGTACTAGCAGGGTAAGTTCAGTGGGCAGGAGTCTTGAAAAGTAATCTTAGTATTGTCAGTCATGACTTCTGAGAGGCATAAAAATATTATGGAGCCCTAGGATGGCCAGTTTGGCTTACAGACAACCCTGTTCCCAAGTACCCTGGGTTATAATAGCATTTTGTCAGGTTTGTTAATCACAAATGGAAAAATACAGCACAACTAATCTCCAGGGCTGCCAAGTAAGATGTGTACACGTGATACTGAAAGACCTGGAACTTCCCAGGAGAGGGATCATCCAGTTCAGAAAGGTGCCTGGGGATTATGGAAACCTACTGCCTTGTCAGTGTGCTGACACTCCTCACCTTTCCTGTGTAGGCTCACCCCACAGCACGAGCACTCACGGGGCCACAGAGATTGTTCTGTGCCTGTGCTCCCTTTCAGCACCTGTAATTTAAAGGCAGGCAAGCAGCTGAGTACACACTGGATACATAAAAGATAAATAACATTGGAAAAGCACAACCTCTGTCTAGTTTGACAGGTTCAACAATCGGGCTGTCACTTCCTGTAGCAGGCTGTCCCAGATCAAAGAGCTTGTACTGTTCCCTGGCTGCAGGTTTTTAGGACAGGGCTACAGTACCAAGTACACATCCTGCTCGTAACTCAACACACAGCGATTATTTATGGACCTTCTTTTGGGGAAAGTTTGCCTGGTTCAGAGGAAATAGGCCATGATTACTGGGAGCCTGGCAGACAGGTGTTTCCCGTGATACCTAGAAAAACCCCGAATCTGACAAACTGAATGATCACCCAAACAGAAGATTGATGCTAAATATCAGACCTTTTACATATACTTATTGTTCTCTAACCTTTTTGAACAGCCAGGGTGACTGAAGGTATCTTGATTTAAAGATATGACTGTACAAACAGTCCACAGCTGGTTTTGAGCATGAATTGGTGTGAGAAAATCACTGTGCTGGAAAGTAATTGAAAACTTTCCAGAAAGCAGCAACTTTCTGTGGCTGTGAAAGCCACTTGCTGTTTGGATAAATTAAGCTATTAGGCTTACTGTACTTATGCCTTCCCTTATCAAAACTGCCACTGGTGGTAATGAAGAGACGGTCACTGCGCCATTTTGATCTTGGGAGAGAAAATGAAGGTGCTACAAGCTGTTGCATTTTGCATGTTAGGTGAATGGGGCTTGAAGGCTGTTAGAAGCAGATCTGCCATGACAGCGTCAGAGAAATCTTCCTCCAGTAGCTGCTCTGCTTAGGCATCCATCCATCTATTTGAAAAACAAGCAACAAACTTATAAAAGCAATGCATCGTGCTCATCACTGGCTGTTCAGTGTGTATTTTGGGGGAACAAACAATTTATTGTCTAATGACTAGAAATAGCTGGAGGGAATTCCAACTTACTTGAGGGAGTCAGGCTGCTGCCCCAACAAGCGTTTTGCCAGCTATCACTCGTTACAGCGCTCAGCTGTGTGCTGCCACCCTCACATCTTGGGTACGTGTTTGTAAAGCCTCCGATGATGCAACAACTCCCATTTCCTCAAGGACAAAAATGCTGGACAGTGCAGATGAAGAGAAAATACAGCCAGTATGCATGTGTCTCACTGCTGGCATCTGCCTCAGTGCCCGGAGCAGTGTAACAAGCCCCAGCAGCTGTGGCAGGAGGACAAAGCACTGGGCACGGTTTGGAGGCCTGCTCAGGCCTTGGGTCAGTGGTGACTTCACAAGACTAGGGCTACCTACATGAAGGTAGCCTCCGTCTGCCTTCGTTTATGCGCTCGCTGATGCTGACTGATCTCTGGAGAAATGCATAAATATGCTTCTTTGTGTGAATCCTCCTGTAAAATACATGCCTGTAACAGAAATCTTTTGTTGGGAGTGAATAATACTGATTGGCTTTGTCTTTACCCTGGGGGCTGAAAGAACGTTTACAGGCTGTCCTCTGAGACCCACCGACCAAAATTCAGGCTCCTTTAATTTAGCCTCTAGGGCTGTAATCTGGCCTTTGCTGTGCAAGTCACAGCGTGACATTTTGCTGATCTTGTAATCGCAAGGCCGCGGTCAGTGGTAATGTCAGGATGAAAAGGTTAAACCTTGTTTGCCTTTTTACCATTGTTCAGTTTTGAGTCATCTCCCTGCTGCGGAGCTGAGAGAGGCTGGACCTTATGGGGGAGCGCTTTTGTGGCCTCAGCTTCGGCTCTCACGTCTGGTGCGCTGGGGCCTGACCTGCCCAGGCAGGACTGCGGCCGGAGCATAAGATTTTGTCTATTGTTGACTAGTGAGAATTAGGGTAGCAGGCTTGTACCATTCTCCCAGTCTCATTAGGAGTAGCCCCTGAATTCTGTTCAGGGGATCCAAAGAACAGACATAGGCACATTGTTCACCTGAATGCCACCCACACTAAATGAAATACCTACTCCCGAAAATAAGTATTTAAAAAAATACCCACCTAAAGTCATTGAAAATTAATTATTAAAACCTTTTATATTACTCTACAGTACAATGTAAATTGTTCCTTTCAATTAAATTTTGAAATACACTAGATTACATCATTTAAATAATCGCAAACTTTTAAGTTCACTATTAGTGGTAGCGGAGCTATATTTACATACACTTCTGAGATACTTCAGATGCAGCGTTACGTTCCAGTCCCTAAGTCAGTTAAATAACAAGACTTTCAGTGGGGGTATACTGCTCTTCCACAGGTTCTACACATATTTGGGGTCTATGTGTCAGAGAGCAAGAACTCCTTTTATTCTTGTCTGCTTTTTTTTTTCTTTGCTGTGTGCATGCAGCTGAATCTGAGCAAATTGATACCTACTTGATTTGGATTAAAGATGAAAGACCTTTCTTTTTAAACAAGTATTTTGACTCAATATACAGAGGTGAATAATGAAATATAGTCCTTAGGAGTAGAAGTGGAAAACATAATTTTCTCCAACTTTCCTCCCCTGTTGCATAATACTGCACCTAATTTTGACCCTGACTTTACCTAATGCTGATGAAATACAGTCGATGGTGGAAACCTCTCTCATGTTGTCAAGACTGGCTTTCAACACAATCCATGCAATGGCAAGCATCATACACCATTCCCCCGCAGTGCAATATTAACAAGTTAAAAAACTCAGTATTTTCCTCCAGAGATCTGCTCCTCAAGGGAACCCATCTCTATATGTACATCAGCCACAAACAGGTTGTGAGTCCTGAGGCTGGAGACCAGAATTAGGCTGTAATGCTTGCTTCCAGTGCTGCTAAGAGTTTTCGTGGGCCAGGCTCCTCCCTGTGTTGTCCATGGAGCAGACCAAGTTCAAGCCACCGAGGCTCTTGATGGTCCTTGCACGTGGCACTAGTCAAGCCAAGTCTCCCTGCGTGCTGCCTGTGCAGGACTCAGGGCCTGGTGTGAGGGGTGCTGATCATGATGTTGGGCAGCGCGTTCCGCCGCTTCTTCCAGGAGCCCAGCTCCCTCGAGTACCGCCTGATCTGCCTGAACCAGTGGTGAGTCCGTGCCCGGTCGCTGTCCCGGAACACAAACGCCTCCCGCCTGATCTCAATGAGTTCAAAAGTGTCGTCGCAGTCAGGATCAGTGGAGACGACGCAATTACTCAGCCTCAAGGGCTCCCTGAGCAAATGGAACTTCCCATTATTTTTGTCCCTGATGAGTACCAGCACAGCGTCCTTCACAGGCCCTGGCTCGGCTGACTCCAGGCTGGACTCAGACACACGCTTCATGTTCACCAGGAGGAGGACCTGCATATTCTGGAACTTCAGGGTCTTGCTGCCCTTCTTCACCCACTGGCCGTCAGGGGGCTGGGCCAGCTGCAGAGACCCCTCCATCACAAATCGCGTTTCCTCCCGCAGCCAACCTACAGTTTTGAGGGCGGTCTCTCTCATCTCAATGTTGATGACTTCCCTCTTCTTCTTGCTGTCCTGGCGAAAGGAGCGAAGGGTCCACGTGTTCCCCTCCTGCTTGGTTTTCATGTTGATGTGCTCCAGGTGGGACTCAATGCGGCTCTTGGCCTCCCGGAGGCTGCCATGATCTGGGTGGTACTCAGTGGTGGCCTTGATGATTCTGCTGAGCAGCAGTGGGTACTTTGTGACTCTTTGCAAAGGGGCCATCAGGAAGGACCTCAAGTTCATCCGCCGCAGTGCTGTGTTGTCGTTCTGGGAGACATTGAGGAATATTCTGCAGGGATTTAAGAAGAGGGAATGAAATGGTGGCTGTTCTGCCAGCAGACGCTGCAATCCTAAATGCAAATGAACAGTGTGGTGCTGACAGCTGCTGGGCACTGCAGCCCCCCCTCTGGTTTTAACAGCCTTGTGAATTCTGTCTTCTCAAAAACTAACAACAATTTCTGCAGCTGTGCTCAGCTGCAGTACAGCGATGAGGTGCCTGGGACACTAGCACATAACATCCTGGCAGTCTTCTATTAAATCGTTGTAAAACAACAAGGGTGTGATCTTTCTCTGGTACACACTGACGTAGGCCCGAGGCCTGTATCAGATTACATTAATTTGTAGCTCCTTTCATCAGTAGGTTACAAAGCATTCTAAACAAGAATTTGGTACTGTCATCATTTTAAGCTGTTGCAGTGGAAAGAGAGAAGTGACTCGCCTGATGCCCAATAGGCCAGGGCTAGGAATGGGAAACAAATTCAAGTCATGCATGCTTCACACAGTGGCTTTCCCCAGTGAAAATCCAAACTGTGCTCTGGCGCAGGGGCTGAGAGCTGTTCTCAGCTGGGTGTCATTTGGTGAAAGTTCAGCCCAGTGGTCAGTGGGCAAACACTGGTACCACAAAATACAGTATATAGCTGGGGACCAACAGGCTTCCTCAGTGGAGATATCAAGGGGTTAATGTATTTTGGAGAGTAAATTACTCTGCTCACCCCAAGAGAGAGCAGCTTGCCACTGAAGAACATTAGCATCAAAACTTTGATCTGGTTGAGCTGACAAAAGCTTTGCCCTCAGCCTGGTGCCTTCCTGTCCCCAAAGCCTGGAAGAATACGCTCAGCCCTTTTCTCACCTGAGCAACTCTTTCTCCTTCTCCAGTGCGTTGAGCATATTCACGGAGGAGGACTGCTGAAGACAGTAGGTCTGAAAGGCTGGCAGCATGTTGACGAACTCTAGAAATATTTCGCCGATGCATACGGTCATCAGGTCATCATCACCCTGCAAACATGCAATACAGCCCTGGCTGGTTAGCTCAGGAGAGGCACAAGCACGGAGCCTGCCTTCAGTCCTATCAGCATGAACCTACTGCAGGATCTGGTGAACACCAGACCAAAGGTGGAACTGGGCTCACCCATCCTGGTGGAAAGGCAGTCCCTGCCGGTCCAGGGGGAAGCAGTGTGTGGGGAGGGGAAGGAAAGCTGGTCTAACTGCTTGCTCTTCTACACATAAAGAGATGTCTTCTCTGCTTCTGTGGGCTTGGCCAGCTCACCAGAGCAGGAGCTCAAAGGCCAGAGGCCAGAGTAAGCCTGCTAATCAGGAGGGTGTACTGGGGCCCTTCTTGTCGGCAGGTCTGCCATAAGGCTAATGCAGCAGTGCATAAATTAACAGAGAGCATTTAGGAGCAAATGGGCAGAGGAGGCCTGTAACTCAGGTAACAGACATGGCACTTAACAACTTCTGCAGTTGTTCTCAGAAACTGGTCTGGCTGGGAAGCAGTCTCCTTCAGTTGTGCTCTTACTGGCTACTTTGATGCCTAAGAGAAAAATAAATTTCATCGTAAATTTCTCTCTGATTTCTGAACGTGTAATAAAATAAGGGAATAGTAAGAATCTGGTGCCACATAATGCTCTTAGCTTTGTCTAGGTGTATGCTGACATGCTGTGCAATCATTTGAGCAGCGAGAGAGGGAGCAGCTCTCTGGCTGCTAGCGCCTTTTTGGTGCAGTATTGAGCTCTGACTGCAAAGGGCAACATGGAGGAGGAGACAGGGAAACCCAGAGCTGTTTGTAGAAGCCATTGTCTCAATAAATTATTCACAGGGGACATCACACCCGCAGTGCACATTTGTCTTCACTGTGCCAGGTGCAAGAGAGTGGTTCTCAAAGTTGCCAGTTTTTGAGACATGTGTTGCTCAGTCTGACATATAGGGTTTCGGAGAGGGAAAGGAGGGATGTGTTTCCTAGAGAACAAAACATCCTGGTGAGACTGATACAGCAGCAAGTGGATTTTGGTTTCTTCAAGAAAGGAGGATGTGGAGCTGTTTACGTGTCCTTTGCAGTGATTGTCTGCTGCTCTAGAGTCTTATTTCTATTTCTCTGCCCTCTGACCACCATGCTCATGGGGTAGGAAAGTTCATTGTGCAACGCAGGGTGCACCAGTAGAAGCAACCGGTACACAGAGCTGTAAAAGGGCCAACTGTCACCAGAGCAGGGAGCAGCCTGTGCTGCCTGGCCCTGCAGCCAGCCTAGGGGCAAGCTGCATAAACTGCACCCAAAGCAAACACATCCAATCCAGCCTGAAGCGAGCCAGCTCAGGGTTGAGTAAGAGCACAGCCTGTGAGCTTGGTCTCCTCCATCCCTCTGGGGGCCAGGCCAACGTGAGCTCTGTGCCCCCATCGTCACACGCTTATCAGTGTCCAAGCTAACTGGCTTAAAGCTAACTTTGGTAATGCGACAGCTAGATCCTGTTAATGGGATAAATGAGCTAGAGTGCGGATGGCCTGCTAATGTTAGTGGTGTTACCAGAGCAGAGAGTGAGGCCAGCAGCTGTGACCTGGCACAGGCCTACAGAAATCACTGGTTTATAATAGCTGAGGGAGGAAGGAACTGGGCAGATGATCAGAACCCAGGAGTCCTACCTCCTGATCCCCTGCTCCATCTATGCTGCCTCACTAATGCCAAACATATTCCTGTCTGCCTGGTCTGGCCCCTGTAGAGCATGCAGCATCATACCTGGTCAAAGGCCTGATCGATCTCTTCCTGGAGTACCTCCAGGAAGTTCTCGTTGAGGTCGATGAGCTCCTGGATGTTGCTGAAGATGCCCAGGAGCTGCTCCTGGCTCAGCAGCCCAGCTGCCTGCATGGGCAGGTAGAACTCCTCTTTGATGATGCGTAGGTCCTCTCCGTAGCTGGCCTCTGTGTTGACAAACTCCAGCACAGACTCCTTGCGCTCTGTCCTGCGCTTGCGGCACTTCTCGCAGAGGTCAGCCCGCCTCTGATTGCAGTTCTGCACATCTGTCTCCACCGGGAGGTCCCTTTCTCCACAGTCGGTGCAGGGACGGTGGGCTTCCCAGGCCTGCAGGGAGCTCAGTGTTTCAGATGCCCTGCTCCTCCACTTTCTGGTTGGCATCTGGCCAATGCCACTATCTGCCCTCTCCACATCCGCTGACTTGGTCCGGGTGGCCTCACTGGGATCCAGGTCATCCCGCACATCGTTCACGCCAACAATCCCGCTGTCCGTGCTCAGGCTGCTGACATTGCTCCAATGATGTCTGGAGCGGAGGGAGCCACGTGGGGCGTGGCGGGTCTCATCAAAGCTGCCACCATGGCCGAGGTTGGCTTTTGCTACCACTGGACCTGAGAACAGACACAAATCATTACAGGCACTGCCAGTTGCACAGAGCTCACCTGAGGAGCTCAGGCTGGCACAGCCATGAGTGGTAGGAACCCTGGGCGGGGCGGGCTAGATCTGGTGAAAGCTGATCTGTTAGCTGTCTCTCCTCCTGTTTTGCTGCTGAGACTGGCAAGAGTAAGAAGTAAATGGCTCCCAGGGGAAGCCTGGGGCCTGTCATCCCAGCACTGCCCATACCTATGAACTCATTTGGGTCCTCTCTTCCCCTGCCATCTGCCAGGCAGGGACAGAGACACGGCAGAGTAGGTCCTGATTTCTTGCACGCCTGGGTTAAACCCAGAATGCTTCCCTCCCCCAGGTCATTAGAGTCACTCCATATTTACACCAGTGTATCAGGGCTCAGCATGTGGCCGATCAACCCCCTCCGAGTGGGCAGAATGTGGGTACCGTAGTCTCGCTCCTGCCGGCGCTTCTGTGCGTGCTGCCGTGCTGCAGCTGCAATCTTCAGCTCCAGCTGCTTCCTCTTCACCGAGTCTGTCGGCATAGGGTCACTGAAGTGTGGCCGCAGCCGGCACTCCCGCTGGGCCTTGGCACCATCCGTGCTCTCATGGACGATGTCGGAGCTGGATCGGCGGCAGCCAGGACTGGGGGTCTGCAAGAAAGGCAAGTGGGTCTGGAGGAAGGCAGTGGTCAAAGCAGCACCTGGTTTGCAGCCACTGAACTTCAGTTGCCAAAGGAGAGAAAAGGAAACTCATCAGCGGTGGGACTGTAAATGCAGCTCTGCTACATGATCATCAGGAAATCTGTCCCCCCAGGTCCCTCTGTCTTGCTTAGTCCTAACAGCAAGGACTCCTCTCCCTTTGCTGTTGTGTAGCTCTGAGTACAGTGGCTCTGTGGTGGCTGGATCACGGCTGTCAAATAACCTGAAGAAGTCAACAGCATAGCCCTAGCTAAGGGCCTAAAGCGGGGGCTGAGGCTGTCTTCTAGGGATCTGAGTTAGCTTGCCTTTGTTCTGCAAACATTTCAGCGCTGCAGGCTCAGGAACTCCAGCCGCTATGCCTTACCTACATTAGTGGTTTGACTAGGTGGGGACTAAGAGGGAGTCTGTCTGATCTCCCCAGCAGTCCAGCAATGAGGGGCTGGTGGCACACTGAAAGCCATGAAGGGGTTATTGCTGAACTCCCTGCAAGAGATGCAGCGGCAGATAGGCAGGGGCACAAACCTGACTCCTGTTTCATTAACTGTAATAAAAAAGGCACTAGAAATGCTTCTAACAGAGTTTAATCGCTCATGGGAGTTGGCGTGATTTCAGATCCCAGGCTCCCAGCCTGCCCAGTTCCTACAACGAAGGGATCCTTTAGAGCTTCTGACAAGAAAAAAAAACCTGAACACATGCCCAAGATGAGAGGGGAATTCCTCTTCCTTACATTCCCTGCAGGTGGAGTGTCGCTGGATGTCTCATTGCTTGGCTTGTCCTCCCAGGTCTCTGTTGCCATGGACATTGCTGTGGGCTTGGGCTGCTGGCTGTCCTCCACAGGTGGGAGATCAGCTTCCCTCAGATCACACTGTCCCTTGGAGGGGGATTTGGCAGCAGTCTCAGCATTGCAGCTGCAGGGGAAGAAGCAGACTCTGATGAACATCATGTATGCAGTTCAACTGCTGTTCCTGACACAGATGAGACTGAGTAGCAACCCCAGGTTCGAACAAACAGACGCAACAGTTCAGGGAAAAGTGCAGGCAGGAATCTAGACTGGTTGGCATGGATGGCTGTGCGTGTGTTTCAGTGGCTCTAGACAAAGCTCAATTATAGTAGTGCAAATCGGGTAATTGCACTCATGCCAGCATCAGCCTGGGATATCAAGTCTCGGGTGTTCACAGGGTATTTTTGTGTCCATAAAACATGAGGTTCTCCCATAGGGACCAGAAAAACCTCTTTCTAAGTAGGCCATATCCATATTTGCTACTACTTAAAGAGATGTTGTCAACACAGAAACCATATTGCTCATCTGGAAGAAAATCACCTGCTTAAAACCATAATACTTTGAAGAGATTAGAGGATTAAAGGAGCTTTCCCTCTGTTTTTCATCTCACATGATCCCAAGCCCACTGAAACCACTGGAAAGATTCCCTCTGCTTTCAGTGAACTCATGATCAGGCCTTTTGGTGCACTTAAGAGTCCTGAAAAGATTGGCAGAGTCTGTTGTTCTTACTTGGCAATTCTGGGATGCTCTTATTCACGGCTGTCTGGTGCTAACAAGGGCCTGGCCTGGCTGATACAGGCAGCCTGTTCCAACCCCACGTTCCCCTCTCTGTAGACAACACCACCTCTCCAGACAGACAGAGTCTGGTGCAAAACCACTGACATGACAGAGTAGTTGACAGGCTGTAGTTTGTAATACTACTTGTGATACATTTTTTAAACAGACTCTCTAAGACACCTTACTTCCATGCACAATGAAGCCTGCTAGGAAGAATATTAATTTTTTCATTTTGGGTTTACTTCATTTTTATGGGATTGGATTCCTTTAAAAAGAAAGGTTGTCAAGACTGGATATGGATGCTTGTACACAGAGGAAGCCCATGTCTGGAACATATTTCAGGTTATGCATGTATTTTATGCTTAACAAAAGTCTCCCATGACAAAAATCTGCTTCTTCTTAAAGGCTTCATTTGTGAACTTATGCTGGTAGGTCATACTGCTAATGTGCAATTCCAACGCTGTCAGCTACAAGCAAACACGAGACAGATGGGCATTTTCCTTACAATGAATGACAGTTGGCTCCGATAACAAACCATCAGCCAACACTGAAATCGCTGAAGAGGGAACAAATCTCCCAGAACACAGACTGGCTCTGTTGTCAGGCCAGAAAAGTTGGTTTGCAACTTTTCACCTGATGCTTTTTCATCTTCCTCCATTTATGCTTCCAGGTCCCAGCTGACACTATCAGAGGATTTACCAACTTAAAAAGAGTTTTGCCGCGGCTGCACAGCAACGGCACAGTGCTAACAGCAGGCTCCTGGCTTTTACTTTTTGCCCTGCTAACTCCCTACCATGTGGATTTGGAAGTGTCACTTCACCCCTCCAGGCCTCTTCTCCCCAGCCTGTAGAAAGGCAATACCAACATCAGCACTGTCACGGAGCAGTCTGTAGTACGGACTGCATTATCCCCGTTACAGGCTTGCACTAAGAGCAGCGCAGGCACACAGCAAGGCTGTGGTGCCACCATGGTACTGTCCTGGCCCATTCTGGATTAAGAGGTTCCTGTCTCCTTCCTCCCTTCCATCCCCAGCCACATTTGGGGTACCAGTCTTTCAGCCAGTCCAGTGTAACTGTCTGTGTGGCCATGATCTAAAATCAGTCTTGAAATGATCTGGGTTTAAAAAAATATCCTCCCTCATGTATTCCCAGCCAGATCATTTCATTGATGTTTCATTCAGTTCGGTAAAGCACGAACAGTTCACCTTGGCACACCTGTGGGAGGAAAGGCAGAAGTTAAGGAGCAAGAAAGTTCTTGAAGAGGATCTGCCACTGCCGGAAAACCACCATTTCCAAAAGCTGCTCTTGCTCAAACAGCTTCTGGTTGAAACATGCAAAAAGAAGGGACCATGCCGAGGCACAGAGGGGCAACGGGATGTGTCCAAGATCAGTAGCAGAGCTCAGAACTAGTATATTATCTTCTCATCTTGATCACACCACCTCCCACCATACAGACCATACTCTCAGAGAGAAGCTGAGCTTTCATTTGTCATTTTTACAATGCTTCAAGACCATCCACTTAAACATGGAAAGTACTCCAGAGTATTACTGCTCCTCTAAGTGAATCTGACAGCAGCTCTCTGCTGATAAGGTCTGCAGACCAGATGCCATTGCTTCTTGTGGTTTCCATAACCCAATAGGGATATTTTTAAAAAATCTCCAGACATGACCTGCAGTGGGAATAAGAGCCAATACTACCCAGAGAGCTGAGCTAAGGAAGTGTGACTGGAGACTGAGAAATTAAACCCATCCCATGGTTGGTCAGCTAGAGGTAAGAAAGGCAACAATGCAGAGCCCACATTGTGTGAAAGGAGATTTCTTCATCCCTGGTTTGACTGCTCCACTTCTAGCTGTGATTAGATCCCTCCTACATGATGTACCGGCCATGCCGTGTGGGGGTAAGTGCTGTTGCAGAGAGCACTTGCTGTGCACCGTACCACCAGTGTGATCAGACGGATGTAGACAAAACAGGGAGGATACAAGCAGTTTTGTAAAACCAAAACTTAGGGCTGCTCCTTTAACCTTTGCCCCTGGCTTAGGAGGAAGAGGGGACATTGCCAAGAAAAAGGGATATTGCCCCTTCCTCCAGTCCCCTCCCCCTGGCAGAGATCTGGGCTGCCAACAGGTCTACATCAATGCCTGCTCAAGCAGTCCCCTCTGCTCTCAAGCAGAGCGGCAGAAGGGGAGACTCTGGCATATTTCCTTCTGTGGGATCAAATCACTTATTGGGATAGGAGTTTTCTGCCTGGGGTTGGTGTCAGTTTTTCCTGTTCTCTCCAAGACAGATGATGCGCTTGGGCCAGCACAGGGAGGACAGGTTCTTTCTGAATGTCCTTTTAAACTTCTGGGCCATCATCTCTTGATCTCATAGAAGCAGAGGCACTGGGTGTGTGGCGTACAACTGGAAATGCACATGCTTTCCTTCACGGTCTCTATGGGATTCTTCATGGTGGTAACATTGTCCAGGCCAGCAGTTCTCAGCCCTTTCCACATGTTCCTTCTGACTAATGGAAACATTTTTGTCTACTCCTTCCCTGCTGGCACCTGCCTTCCAGACTTGGAATCCTCTGCTATGGGAAGCTGTTATTGTACCCACCATCCCAGTGTCATCCCAAACACACCCCATCACTCTTTTCAGGAAGCCGCCTTTCTTAGTCATTTCCTTTGCTTCCTTGTGCAGGTTTTTGTTGTCACCTTGTCCCCCATTTCATAGACAGGAACCCCAGGTCCTTGCATGTCCTTATCCTGAACAATTCACTGCTTAAACAAGTTCAGAAAGCAGACTATATATTGAAATGCGTACAGGATTTCCACCTAGATCTCAACATCCCTTCCCCGCCAGGACTGATGAAATATTAAGCCATTTGAATGAGTCTTAAGTAATTAACTATGAAATACTAGGGAGGCAATTAACTTACCAGACAAAACTGCTTTGTAAAATTGTAACACTTACACAGAAACACCCGAAACGGAAGACAATTTCAGCTATCTTATTCTGTGATGCTCCATTACAACATCTCTATCAAAGGCTTGCTGAGCTCAGTATCTGTGGAAATGGGACCACATCCCCAGCTTTCAGCTCATTTCATTTGAGACTTAGAAAAAATGTGGCCTGGATGTCAGCGATCATAATTTAGGACCCAAAACATCTAGACAAAAAGTCTCCCACCTCTGCAGTGAGAATCAGCTTGAGTTATAAATGAGTATTCAGGCACTTTGCAGTCTCGGGTGAAAATGATGGAAAATTGAGAAATTTCCAGATAAAGGAAACTCGAGTTTCGCACTAACCAGTACTTTGGCACTGCCAATACATTTGTCTTCCTCCTGCTATCCTGAAGAAATGACAATCTTTATCATTAATTGTTATTACTGTGGAAAATAAACAGGCCAGGGTGGGTCCTTCACATGAAACAACTTCTTTAATACTGGAACCACTTGCAAATGAAAGCACTTGTTGCTGCATGTCCCACTACCTAAATTCATGTTCTGCAGTGGTGGGACAGACTCTACATCTTTTTTCAAAGGAATCATATTAGTACTTTGTATCCCTCTGCTGTCCTCTACTTTTAACAGATGTTAAAAAAAAAAAAAAGACCTTTCAACAATTTATTACAGAAATAAAATGGGTGGGAAATTGGGTGTCAGGACTACTAATGGCTGCTGTCTGGATTAAGGTGTACAAAAAGGCAAAGTCTAGATGAAAATGCTTTTTGATGTTTAATCCCATGCAAAGACGGACTTTAAGCTCAACAGCTTAAAGACATGTCCACATGGCTACCAGAGACCCTAAGATGAAAGGCTCTGCCAACAGTGTATTTATGCTACGGGAGTTAAATGTACATATCAGAAGAGGGACCAGATTGTTAACAAGGGAACTGCTTTCAGGTGACCCCACAGAGCATGTTACCTTTTCTTAATAAGTTCCAGGGCTGAACCTATGAATTCATCCTTCATTTTTTGTAGCTTAGCTCCATAGCTGGATAAGTCTGTGGCTTCTAACAGCAGCGATGAACAGCAAGAGGACTGGGCTTCAGAAGCCAGCGACTGCCCTGCAAGGTGGAGGACATCATTTAATTGTCTTGTCTCTCCTTTCTGCTGCTCATCACTGAAGATCTCCTGCCCAGCTCTGTGTGTTGCTACTGCCTGCAAAGGTGATCGCGGTATAGGGCTAGAGCAAATGGGGACTGGGGATCTATCCAGGCTGGAGATCTGGAAGGTTCTGTCCTTCACCTCAGGGCTGCTCATTCTGAAATTATCCCATGTGGCTGGATATGGGGAAAAGCCATTAGAGGTATGGTTTTCATGGAACACATCATCATCATCCTCCGCTGTGACAGTGGCTTCATTCACAGCTTTGGTCCCCAGAGCTTCTGGACAGACGTTCTTATTGTTCTCCTCCTCCACGGTCT